TATATATATATATTTTGAGACAGAGTCTCACTATGTCACCCTCAGTAGAGTGCTGTGGCATCACAGCTTACAGCAACTTCAAACTCTTGGGCTTAATAGATTCTCTTGCCTCAGCCTTCCATGTAGCTGGGACTATAGCTGCCCACTACAATGCCTAGCTATTTGTTGTTGTTGTTGCAGTTGTCACTGTTGTTTAGCTGGCCTGGGCTGGGTTTGAACCCACCATCCTCGGTGCATGTGGCCAGCACCATAACCACTGTGCTACAGGCGCTAAGCCTCACAGATAATATTTTTATAATACTAGTTTTATTGCTTTTCCCCTTATGTTCCTTTAAAAGAATATAAGCAAATTACATATATATGTATATGTGTGTCTATGTATATATGTTAGAGGGATCCCCCTCTGGTCATGCCCCTCACTATGAGGTCAGGAGACTCTAGAGACAAGTGAATGTGCCTACCCAAAACCCATATCCTCCTTTTTAGACTGTCGAACTCCAGCCTTCCTTGATCAGATAGCCCTGCGCCCATTCCCAGGGTCCTTCTGAATTTGAACTGTACTGCCATTATCACTAGGGCTGTAGGATGGCCAAGGGGTGGCCACTGCCATGAGGCATAGATGTTGGATGCGTGAGGTGTACTCATGTGTGCACTCGAGGCCTCTCATGGTACCAGTGGTCAGCCAAAGGCCTTCCATATGGTTAGGCAATTGTGTTTGTCAAGGATGTATTTTATTTCATAGCTTGCTAGTTTCGCTTACAACTTTTAAATACTTAAACCTAGTGTGGGGCGGTGGCTCATCTGGGCTAAACCCCCCAAAAATTAAATGAAATGTGCTCTTTTAATTCCAGAAACTGAGCGAAAAGACTTGTGAGTATTATGCGCTTTTGTCGAAGCCCTAAGCGATGGGGGCCTGCAGGCCAGGCGTAAAAACCTCCTACAGGGAACCCTGACTGTGCAGTCAAGTCAGCCTGTCAGATAAGGGTTGAAATGGCCCATCTGTGCAGAGGACATGACTCAAAGGTTGATGTAAGTAAAAAGAAAAAACTCTATCGTAATGATGTGAGTAAAATACTCCATCGTAACTGCAGGGTCTCCAAAACCATAAGAAAACAGTCATGAAGCCAGTTTCTCAGAAATTTAATTGAGTACATAGAAGAGAAAGGTTTTACTCCTCTGTTTATCCTAACCTTTAACTTTAACAATAGAAGTCTGATAACGTATTGTTCTTTAAGGTCTATCAAGAAGAATAGCCTGAGGCTAGCTTAAGATGGTTGTCTTACTTTCCCGGACTTTCTTTCTTTAGGCTAATCTTATGATGGCTATCTCACTTTCCTGGACTTTCTTTCTTTTCTATAGTTTAAGAAAAGAAATGAGGATGTTAGGATTATTGATCAATGTGGTGTACGTGACTAGCTCCCAATAAAGGGGAGTGGAAAATAAAGACATTTTGCTACATGCCACCTAAGAGTGTGTAGTCGTTTCTTGCTTTTAAACAATTCTAGGAGCGAGCTTGCACCTGCGGCCAAGCCGTCCTCTCTCTGCGAGAAAGAACATCACCTAACAGGCTCACACCTGTAATCCTAACATTCTGGGAGGCTGAGGCAGGTGGATCGTCTGAACTCAGGAATTCGAGACCAGCCTGAGCAAGAGTGAGACCCCATCTTTACTAAAAGTAGAAAAACTAGCTGGGTGTTGTAGTGCCAGATACCTGGGAGGCTGAGGTAAGAGGAACTCTTAAGCCCAAGAGCTTGAGGTTGTTGTGAGCTATGATGATGCCATGATACTCACCCCAGGGTGACAGAGTGAGACTGTCTCAAAATAAATAAACAAATAAATAAAAATAAAAATAAATACTTAGACCTATAGTCTGTGGGTTTCCATTTGTTTTCTTGTCCCAGGCCTTGCCATTCTTGGGACCAGGCCTTGTGGCAAAAATTATTTGGTATAAAAGCACACAGGATCAACACACTTTAATTAGAGTACAAATCAGGAGCCAGAACAGACGCACTAAGCCCCACTTTTCCTGTGCAGCCTGAGGTAAAAATATCACATCAGCCTTGTTTACCACAGAGGTTGTGGGCAAGTTGTTACCTAAGGACAAATTCTGTTGGTATATACTTAAAAAGAAATAAATACCCGTAAAGATAGTTCCCTGTAACTGCTTGTAAGATTTATGAAATGGCTGAGAGTATATATGAGTATATGTCTTAATATTACAGATAAAGGCACCTGGAAATAGAAGTGTCATCCAATTTCATCAGTGATTTGAAGACTATTCCCTCTTGTTCCAACCTGGTGCGAAGAAACTGTAGTACCAGCAACGTGGCAATTAGCTCCAGGAGACGTTCTTTTCCTTTTACACCTAAGGAGAAAAAAAAAAACTCCTTTACATCTTTTGGAAACTTTGGATCTCAAACTGTGCTGGTCATGAAATCTTCATTAAAGAATTATACTACTATTAAACCATATTATATTAGTAAATCATGAAACTCTGCGATACTCTTCAAGATCCTTAAGTAGCCTGCTATTTAAGTAAAAAATGGAACATTTTTTATAGGATCCTGATAGTTTTAGGAAACTAGACTCTAGCCAGAGCACCCTTCCATTGCCATCTTTAATAACCAGAGGTTATGCAGTATGATGAAAAAAATTCCAAGCCGACTGCAGTGGCTCACGCCTGTAATCCTAGTACTCTTGGAGGCTGAGGTGGGTGGATTGCTTAAGCTCATGAGCTCGAGACCAGCCTGAGCAAAAGTAAGACCCTGTGTCTACTAAAAATAGAAAAACTGAGGCAAGAGGATTGCTTGAGCCCGAGGTGGAGGTTGCTGTGAGCTATGATGCCAAGGCACTCTACCCAGGGTGACAGCTTGAGACTATCTCACAAAAAAAAAAAAATTCCAATTTCTAGGCCCAGAAGAGTAAACCTAAATATATAACAGGTAAACGACAGATATGACTGACTATACCAGTGTATCAAATTATTTATAGTTATTAGTGCCTGTAGGTATCCAAATCAAGATACTTCATATGTTCTAAAATATCAAAATCAAAAATGAATGTTTATATATAGAGTTCAGGAATTAACCCATTTTTATTTCAAAAAATATAAGTCATCTTTGAAATCATTTTATACACAAATTAGTTTCAAAATATTTTTAATTTTCCAATCACACATTTTATAAAACTAATTATTTAATTATCCTAATTTTCTTTTCTTTCTTTTTTTTTTGAGACAGAGCCTCAAGCTGTTGCCCTGGGTAGTGTGCCTTGGCATCACAGCTCACAGCAACCTCCAACTCCTGGACTCAAGCAATTCTCCTACCTCTGCCTCCCAAGTAGCTGGGACTACAGGTGCCCGCCACATAGCCCACTATTTTTTTTTTTTTTTGGTTGCAGCCATCATTGTTGTTTGGCAGGCCCGAGCTGGATTCGAACCCGCCAGCTCATGTGCATGTGGCTGGCACCTTAGCCACTTGAGCCACAGGCACCAAGCCTAATTATTCTAATTTTCCACATCTATCTTTATAACCGTTAGAGCCACAACGAGGCATCTGATGGTTTCCCATGTAAGTCGTCTTTATTTCCATGGAAGATGTTTGATACACAGCACTGTTTGTATCATTACAGCATCCAAACCAATAGGCACTTAATGTTGTGGTTTTTTGGTTGTAAGATATTTTTAATTATACAGAAAAGATAACAGTATGAAGAATACCCCATCTGCTGTCCAGCTTCTCACTTTAAACACTTTCCTAAGTCTGCTTCAAAGTCCCTGTTTTTCTTCAAAAGAAACAAGAGAAACCCCTCTCCTTGGTGCACCAATGTATCCTCCACCCCCAAGTTTTCAAAGAAAAACGCTATTATGATTTGAGGATTTATATTTCCATGATGAATTGTTTTTTAAAGTTGTCTTCAAAAGGCTTGTTAAAGAATATTCAGTGTTTCTTGTACCCTCAATGAATCCCCCACAATAAAAAAAAGAACATTCAGTGTTTGAAATTTTCAATTCATATTTCTAAGAATACTTAACAAAACTGTATTAAATTTCTTTTATATCCCTTTTTAGGATTTCCCTCAGATAAGTTGTCTAAGCATCCAAATCCAGCAATAACTAAGGCCCTCTGGGCTCTGCACCTTCTTCCACTGGCACTCTGTCATTCAGAACACAGTAACTGAGAGAACGCCTTACAATACTAAAGACTCTACTGCCCTCTCTTCTGGGTAATGGTTTTGTTTTGTGTGTGTGTTTTTTTTTTTTTTTGAGACAGAGCCTCAAGCTGTCCCCCCGGATAGAGTGCCGTGGCATTACAGCTCACAGCAACCTCCGACTCTTGGGCTCAAGCGAGTCTCCTGCCTCCGCCTTCCATGTAGCTGGGACTACAGGCGCCCGCCACAACGCCCAGCTGTTTTTTGGTTGCAGCCATCATTGTTGTTTGGCGGGTCCGGGCTGGGGATTCGAACCCGCCACCTTAGGCGTACGTGGCTGGCGCCTTAGCTGGTTGAGCTATAGGCGCCGAGCCTTGTTTTGTGTTTTATTAAAGACAGAGTCTCACTGTGTTGTCCCTGGTTAGAGTCCCATGGCATCATCATAGCTTACAACAATCTCAAACTCCTGGGCTTAAGCGATGTTCATGCCTCAGCCTCCGAGTAGCTGGGACTACAGGTGTCCACTACAATGCCTGGTTAATTTTGCTATTTGTCATAGAGATGGGGGTCTCACTATTTTACTCAGACTGGTCACCAACTCCAGAGCTCAAAGGGTCCTCCTCCCTTGGGCTCCCAGGGTGCTAGGACTACAGGTATGAACCACCATGCCTGATCGAATGAAGTATTTTCTAATCAACGTCATGAAGATGCATTCCTGCTTTCTTCTAAGAGCTTTATAGTTTTCACTCTTACATTTATAAGAAAGGGATTCAAGGCTGGCACGGTGGCTCAAGCCTGTAACCCGAGCACTCTGGAAGGCCAATGCAGGTGGATTGCCTGAGCTCATTGAGTTTAAGATCAGTCTAAGCAAGAGCCACCTCATCTCTAAAAAAAAAAAAATATATATATATATATATATATCCATCATTGTAGTGGGTGCCTGTAGTCCCAGCTACTTGGGAGGCTGAGGCAAGAGAATCGCTTAAGCCCAAGAGTTGGAGGTTGCTGTAAGCTGTGATGCCAAAGCACTCTTTCAAGGATGACAAAATGAGATTCTGTTTCAAAAAAAAAAGGATCCAACTTCATTCTTTTGGATATGGATGATATGGATATCCAGTTTTCTCAACACCATTTGTTTAAAAGACTGTTCTTTCACCCACTGAATTGTCATGACAGCCTCATCAAAAATCAATTGACTATAAACATAAAGGTTTATTTTTGGACTCTCAATTCTATTTGGTCAATTTTTTTTCCCCCCAGTTTTTGGCCAGGGCTGGGTTTGAACCCACCACTTCCAGCATATGGGGCCAATGCCCTATTCCTTTGAGCCACAGGTGCCAGTCCCTAGTCGGCCAATTTATGAGGCTTATGCTATTGCCACACTGTCTTGACTCCTTCAGCCTTGCTATAAGTTTTGAAATTGGAAAAGTGTGAGTCCTCTTAGTTTTTTTTAAATTTATTTTTAAGATTGTTTTGGCCATTCTGGGTCTCTGCATTTCCAAATGAATTTTAGGATCAACTGACCAATTTCTGCAAATAGGTAATCTAGGGTTTTAAAAAGGACTGCATTGAATCTATAGTTCAGTTTGGGAAGAGCTATATTAAGTTTTCCAATCCATGAACATGAGATACATTCCATTTGTATAGATCTCCTTTTTTTTTTTTTTGAGACAGAGTCCCACTTTGTTGCCCTCAGTAGAGTGCCATGGTGTCACAGCTCACAGCAACCTCAACTCTTGGGCTCAAGCAATTCTCTTGCCTCAGCCTCCTAATTAGCTGGGAGTACAGGTGCCCACCATGACACCCAGGTATTTTTTTATAGACAAGGTCTTGCTCTTGCTCAGGCTGATCTCGAACTCATGAGCTCAGGCAATCCACCCACCTCAGCCTCCCAGAGTGCTAGAATAACAGCCATGAGCCACTGCACCTGACCCTATATAGGTCTTCCTTAATTTCTTTTAAAAATGTTTTGTGGTTTTCAGTGTACAAGTCATGTCTTTCTTTTGCTAAATTTATTCCTAAGTATTTTATTCATTTTGTTGCTATTATAACTTTTGGAGGTTTTGTTATCATATTATGCTAGTCAAATGAGCTGGAAAGTATTCTATTTTTCCTACCTTTTGTGATATTTTGTATTAGATTAGAATTATCTACTCTTTGAATGTTTACTAGAACATTGGGGTAAAACAATATTGGCCTAGTGTCTCCTTTGGAGGAAGATCTTAAATTTCTAATTCAGGGCTCAGCACCTGTGGCTCAAGCGGCTAAGGCGCCAGCCACATACACCT